TACAAGTTACCCTACTGTAGTGTAACTATTTCAATTACTTTATTAAAGTAATGTAACTGATAACATTTGATTACTTTTCTAAATTTCTACTGAATGTTTTCAACTGATAATAATTATATATATAACTGTAAACTGCAATTTAATTACACGTTTTCTCAGTAACTGTAACAGATTACATTTGTTTTGTAATTAAATTACGTAATTCCGTTACATGTATTTACTCCCCAACACTGTTATACACTGTAGTGTAACATGCATAAACAACAAATGTGGTAATAATTGCTTTATAACACGGTAATAATACAGTAATATAATGCACAAATAAGATTCTTAATAATTTATATAAAAACAAACTTAGAAATGGACCAGATATCATGATCCATTTAGGTTTTGCTGCCCAGTTAACCAGAATGTATTTAATTCAACTGATAATAATTTTCAAACATTTAAAAAGCAGAAAGGGTTAACTTTACAGTAGTACTCCACACTGATTACTGTCAGACTTTCCAAAATCCTTCATCACTTGAATTAAGATTATATTAATTTAATTTTAAAACACAGCCACAAAAAAAATCAGACTTTAGCACCTGTTTTTACTTCGAGATCATTCCGTGGTTAAATACAGATTAAATGCATAACAAGAAACGTTTAATAGCTATGATACTGTTTTTTAAATCAAATATTTGCATAGTTCTGACAGAGTTATGTGCAAATTTGAAATGTAAATAAGTATGTGTGTTAAATAAATAAATGTATTTTGCTCACTCTGGATGAGTACAGTTCTTGGAGAGTAGGGAGAGTTGTACCAATGATTTGCTCAGCAGTCCGGACTATCCGACGTCTTGCATGTTCATATTGATTTCACAGGTCAGGTGTTGTATAGAGCACCCTATGTTTAAAAATGATGTGTGATCACTGCAAAAGCAGCTGCGTTAGACCACACGTCTTTGTTTCAAGGCATTGTATTCAAATTAAATAATTATGGCTGTACATGCTTTCAAACGCCCACAGCATGCTTCCAGATTAAGAACCACTTGTCAGCTGCGTCAGACGGCGCATTAGCTGCCGGTCCAGATGACATTAGGTGTTTCCTGCAACTGATCTCCACTTTTTCTGTAGGTAGAGGCCTTCCATGCAACTTGACCCATGTTCCCCTCCCCACGCTGCTTCCAATTGCCGAGCACATAGTCCACATTCCAGACGAGTCATGGAGGGGGGCTCCAACCCAGCTTTGACAGATCAGCAGTTAGTGATGATAGTGGTGGTCGCCTGGGATTCGCTTGCTCGCCTTTCATGTGACCCGGCGGCTTGACGTTTGTCAAATGACCCCTGAAACCGCGTCTTTCATTGTGCTGGCCTTTTAATGGCCTCAGATTAGGGAGCAGACAGCCGGCAACTCAGGGGAGCCAATAGCGCAGCCTAATCTTTTGTATTTTGTATGACCAGCTGGATTTGTTGAAAGTGTGAAAAGAGTTTACCTGATGCCTCTGGGGTCGAAGACTTGGTCAGAATCGCAGATGATGTTTTCAGCGCCTTGAGTGACATGTAGGATTCAGATTTAAAGTGGGGTTAAAGAATAAGCAGCCAAGGTCGAGGCAAATGTTTTCGTATGTTTCATTTAAATTGCATCAATATAGAAAAACAGAACTCCAGAAGGCTGAGAAGGACTTTTTTTTTTCACCAGTAAGTGTACTTCGTCTGACAGCTAAATTGCACCTCTTCATTGACTTCTGCAATTATCAGCTTTTATTACAAATAGTATTCTGAAGTTTCTCTTTTTGTACCAGGAGTTTGGAAGGCATCATTTGCTAGGCCTGCATATGATATGACAGCACTCTGAAGGGTTATGGATACGTAAAGGGAGGTCTTGCTGACCATTTTGAAATCACAGATGTTGGGACATTTTTTGGGCTAGTCTCTTCCTTATTTTTTTCACATTCTTGTATTCAAGTGCAATGCAAATGCAATCATACACACTAAATCCATCAATCAACACTTTATTAATGCAGATGATGCAACTGATCACTTTTTTGAATTTCACAATAATGAGGCAAACAGTGTTAACTTTACATAAAGCATTATTGGTTTTAGTGTGTTGGTACTTAATTGGTACTTAATATTCCAATGAGGCAAATGAGAGGGGAAAAAAAAGTGAACCTCATAAAAGTTGCCAAGAAAAGAGCCAGTTCATAACCAACCACAAAATCAAGAGAGAGAAATTAGAAATTATGTTTTGCATAAAGAACATAAATCCCATCTTTTGATGTCAGTGTGATATGATTACCTTGATGATAAATATGAAATAATATTAAGTAAAATTGTAAATAATTCATCATGTCAGTACTGGTTTTTGAATTTAATGTATGCTGGTTTATTTATTCTTAAATTATTTTTTAAGTTAAAATTGTGTTCAAATTACTGTAATTTTTTTATTTTCTTTATAGAAAATGTATTTTTTTTATAATGAAAACAATCTAAGAATGATTTATTTACATGTTAAGGCTTGTTTTTTTGATAATTTCTAGAATCATCTGTAGAATCATCTATCTTTTTCTTGTAGAACTGAAATATTTTATTTTGTTTTTCACTTGTTTATTCATAAACCACTGCAAAATAATTAAATTAAATTAAATTAAATTAAATTAAATTAAATTAAGTTAAGTTAAGTTAAGTTAAGTTAAGTTAAATTAAATTAAATTGAACCTCTATAACCCAGATGTTCCTTTATGAGATTCACCCTCCTAACTAAGCAATTTGAATAACTTTCCCATTCGTTTCATTCAATGCTAGTGTGATCAAAATGGCTTAAGTGACACTTTTGTTTAGCTTCTCCACATCTCCGGCTGACGCTGTTCCTTTGGCAGCGGTAGCTTAGATGAAATCACTCGTAAGGAAGAACGCTGAGATATGTCTTTTGTCACTTCAACAACATTCTGTCCTACAAAAAAGGGGGGAAAGAAAGAAAAAAAAACATAAAGGAAACAATAGAGGTGTTGCTAGGTTGCAAATTCTCTCCGAAAAGCAACCTTCTTTTGTTTTGCCTCTTTCGCTTCTTTGGAGAATGTCTTTGAGATCTTCCACTGTGCGGATGGCCATGCACTTTCTTTGGAGAAGGGTGGGGAAGTGAAAGGGGAGGGTTCCGGGGTTGTTAGTAGCCGGGGATGAGGGTCCGTGAGCTGTCAGTGTGCCCATTTGGCCTGAGGGTGAGGAAGGCCTCCTGCAGGCCCAACTCTATGGAGGAATGCACCTCCTGAGGAGAAGCTGTCTAAGCTCTGAGCTCGCGGCTCACGGATGGAATGTCAGGTCAAACGCATCACACTCTGGACTCCTCCTCTCCTCTAACAAGTCTTCTCCTATCTCCTGCATTCATGTTTCCCCACACAGATAATTTCATCTCACTGTTTTGGTCTAGCAATGAAGTACGCAACACCAGTCTGTTAATGTGTGGTTTGCAGTTACTCATTTTTTGATCAGTATTCTTGTTTATTTCCTAACAGAAGAGTAAAACTCCATTGGATTGATAATTGATTCTTCATTGCTGAGTAATGAATAGAACAAGCTGTTTCCCCAAAGTAACAGCAGGGTGATTTTTTAAAAAAAAGCTAAATAAAAGGATAGCGTTTTCACAGCAGGCTATTTCAATGATTACATTCTGCTGTAAAATAAAATAAAATTAAATGAAATTAATTAAATTTATTAGACTTAAAAATGTGGAGGGGTCAGTTGAGAGGTTATTGCAGGAGGGTTTATTAGGTTATATTTGTTTCTACACTTCAGAAAATGATATTCTTTATAGTATTTTTTAACAATTAAAACAAAATCTAAAAATTATTTTTTTACATGTTAAGGCTTGTTTTTTTATAATTTCTAGAATCATCTAGAATGCAAGTGTATTTTTTTATCGTAAAAAAAATTATTTATTTTTTTCTTCTTTTTTGCACTGCAAAAAAATAAAATAAAATAAAATAAAATAAAATAAAATAAAATAAAATAAAATAAAATAAAATAAAATAAAATAAAATAAAATAAAATAAAATAAAATAAAATAATAAAAAATAAAAGTTGTGGTGACAAAATCTGGTTGCAAGGGTGTTCTTGGTGATTGTTTGGTTGTTGAAACATGGGTTGCCAGGGTATTCAGGGTGGTTGCTGATTGGTCTTAAATTCCCGACACTCAAGTTTTATCCTGTATATTTGGCTGTATATATGACTTTTTTTTTTCGTCTGTTTTATTGTCCACCAAGTTGATTGTTTAAAGTAACATTACATAATTTGTGGTATTATTTATGTCAATTTACACAAAAAGGTCACCAATCACCACTACTCAGATGGCTCAGAAAAGGCTTAACGTCACTTTCAAATGTTCTTTAGTCTGTGCCTTTTATATCAGGCCTTAAGAGCATCGCGAGTTCCCACAAGTGCACAGATACTTTGGCGAAATCTCCATAAAAAATCTCAAAGCCTATTTCATCGCAATCACGTAAGGAAAGAACGTGTGTAAGCTGGCAGTTTAGTGCAATCAGAGCTCAAAGGGAAGCCCAGAGGTGAGCTTTTGAAGCGGTTTTGTTTCTTGCGGGCTCTAGGTTGTCAGGCCCCCGGGGGCCGATGGAGATGAGGAAGGAGAAGGCGGCGCTCGGCAGCCAACGGAGCTTAAATCACTCTCCATTTCACACACAGGAACACATGGGAAGGAGTAATATTATGCGTAACCCTGGCAACCGGTCCAAGTCATCAGTTTCAATTCTGGCAGCGGTAGGCACGGTCCAGTGGCGCTGTAAGAAAGGACCCTAATCTGGAAGGAGGGCATGGGCGGTTATTACATTTCCTTTCCCACTTGATGCTTGGAATGGGGAGGTTCAAGGGATTAGGCAGCCACGGAAGCAGGGGATATCGTAAAAAAAAAGCCTCCTGGGGCTTGTATTTTGGGCCGCTGAAGGATTTCCGAAAGGTGTTGTTGCTGACAAAGTACTTACATTTCCACCGTTCTGCTTTCTTCACAGTTCCTCCGAAGGAACCGCAGGTGACGTGTCGATCAAACACCTATCCCAAAGGTTTCTACTGCAGTTGGCACCTTCAGCATCCCACCTACATCCCTACGGACTTCGAAGTCGATGTCCAGTAAGAAGTTTACTTGTCTGCTTTTCTCTTCATTTGCAACTCCATCTGTCAAGTCTAGCTTCCCACTCTTCCTTCTGCTCTCCTCTCGCTCCGTCTGTCATGTCATGCCCTCTCGTGTTCGGCGGAGGCTTTGAGACACACTGAGCTCATCTGAATCAGTGATCTGTGCGGTCAGACGCTGTCTGCTGAGAGCTGATTAGGCCTGTCTGACTCTGAGTGCTGGAACTCAAGGCAGTATAAGTGGACTCTCCGTCGAAAGCCCCTGCGGAGCAACCCTGCACACACTAGAGCTCCATCTCTCTTTCTCTCTATCCCTCATCTGTCCACATCTGTCTGGACAACCCTACAGTGGCTTTATCCTCATCAGTCACCAAATGGAAGCGCACTAGTACTTACAAACACTAACACGATCATACTGAATGCTGCATGTTAAATAGCTAAAGATGTTAATTCAATAAATAAATGGAAATTTGGAGCACATGAAATGGGATATTGTAATATATGAATATATAGCTCATCTGAATCTAATGTATGAAGTAGTGTTGCCAAATGATTAATCGCGATTAATCGCATCCAAAATAAAGTTTTTTTTGTTTGTTTACATATGTGTACTGTGTATATTTATAATGTATATACAGTATGAATACACACACATACAGTATGTTTTGAAAATATTTACATGTATATATTTATATTCATATAATGTATATTATATATAAATATATTTAATATATGAACATAACCTATTTTC